AAAAGCCCCCTTTATCCCTGTCCGAAACTCTACAATCCCCACTACAATCCCCAGCTTGAAGGCGCATTCCGGGGGCCCAGCTCATTCGTCTGGCCAGGGTTGTTCCGCTTCAACCTGTGGAGTTTGAGTCCCATGTTGGGCGTGCAGAGTTCGGGATTCAAGTGAGCAGAGTGGCTCAGCCAAACCATCTGAGGAACGAAACTTGGAATCTTGGGGGCTGTGCGATTGGGACTGCATTGGCCAGTGCACAAAGTTGGGGAGTTTCGGAGACTTCGCATTGGACTAAGAGCAGCTTCAGAGGTCTAGATAAGCAGGATAGTGCACATAAAGCCATGCTTTGGAGAATGTCCCATGGCGCATGCCCTTGGCGTTTGCACTAGCATCCAGGAGCCGGAAGTTCTGACTGACCACTACCGCGCCAGTGACGGCGCACTTCAACTGCTCCTCAGACCGAGATCTTCAATCCAGCGGCCCTGAACCTTAATCCAAGTTCAGAGTCTCGAACTACCTCCTTGCACCATGCACCTAAACCCCCTAAGCCGCCTTTTTTTTTCGGGGCTTTACATTCCTGTCCACAGATTTGTCAGGGCTGCGGCCGGCCGGCTTGGACCAACACAGCGAAGACGGCACGCATGCCATAGTCATAGTGCCTTCATCTTGCAAGACCATCGGGGTTGCTCCAACGTCAGGAGCCGTCAGGAGTTGGTGGTCTTAAACCGAACACACTATTTCAAATCTCCGCAACAAAGACCGAACCGTGGCGTGACCGCGACACGCCAAATCCCATAAACTTCGGGGATCGGACCATGAGTTCCCCCTAGATCTACGGAGAATGGACCACGTCTAGATGACAAGCATGCTAGGCCCCCACCGACCAAAAGATGATGATGATGATGATTATGATGATGATGATGATTATGATGATGATGATGATTGAAGATTATAGTTATGATGATGATGATGCGGACAGCAGTGATCTTCACCATGTCCTATAACCGTGGCACGAATCGCACTATCCACACTGATGAGATCAATGGTGACTGCAGCAGCCTCGGTAACAACGACCGCCTCTATAACCGTGTAACAAAGAAAGAAACCTATCGTGGACTTTGTCGGCTACACAAACTGGCCGCGGTCCTGCAACCTCTACATTGACAATGAGACTTTCAGAAAACTTGGCCCGACACTTCTGTGATGAAAGCTGTTCGGAGCAGAGTTTGTAGGTGGTCACCTTGCGCTGGGCTCAAGTACTTCGGCTTGTTTTGGGGGGTTTGCGCGGTTCAGCGTCTGGGTGGGGATGGGGTTGGATGAAGTCTTCATTCATGGGGCTCGGAGAGTCGAGACTTCGTTCTCCAAATGTTTCAGCTACCTCGTTTTGCACGAGGATTCAGTGGTTCCGATTCCTCTACAACGGCCGCATCAAACGAAGTAACCTCCGAGCACTCCTTGAAGGTTCAGAAGGCTCAACTGCAATGCAGCTTGAAGGCATCTCGCTCAATGCATGTATGTAGCTAGCAGCGGAGCTACGGCCGTCGCTTGCTTTGTGTGTATACAGGTCTTGCAGACATGAAACAGGCGGGATTAGAATCACTTTGCCGCATTGTCCACGGCAGGAAGGGGCTCCAACTCTAAGGGAGGGCCACCGCACATGCAAGTGGGGCAGGCTGAGTCTGTCGCGATCTTCTGCGCCAAAGATCTCGAATCCTGTGGCGGAGTACTCAGTCAAACCGGTCTGCGTTCGTGACGGTAGTCCGTCGAAGGCGAGGTGCGCGGCAGCTTTGGCGTTGGTTCAGGTATTGAAGCTAGGCATATTATAAAGCAACCTTGGCTACATGCTCCAATTACGTCGGGTGAGAGGTCTTCCGACAGTCAACTTGCATGATGCACTAAGGCAGTCTAATTACCAAGACGCAGTGCGTGGGGACACGGAAGTTTCAAGACAAATACATGTCTTACGCAGCAGAAGTGAAACCGATTCGTTTACAGATGGCTGAGGATCCTGCAGTCAGGCTCGTCCGTGTCGCATTCAAGGGAGGGTTCCCAGGCTCTGCTTTGCGTCTTCAACAATGCGTGGTACAGCGAATCGTTAAGGTGTGGTCATGTGCAACACACCAAAGATACTTGGCCCTCTGAAGTCGCCTGACTTGTCCATTCCCCAATCATCTTCGCCTTCTCACATGCTATCTAACTGTTCGAAACCCGACGGTGACAGCAATCCTAGTTATGACCGGGCCTCATAACCGTAGGAATAGAGCTTGATCTCTGCGATCATGGCATAGTCGGGGACCTTAGAAGTCGCAGCAATCGCTGTAACTAGGATCAATCTGCCGCACGACTTTGCTTCTCCGGGACCTCCAATCGAACAAGCAGGCATGGACGCCATTTCGAACTCAGAGGGATGGTTTGCACTTGGTTTACGGCTAGCTTCGGAACTGGCTTGAACCCATCATGAACATCCAGAACCGGAGGGCAACTGGCAGAATCAAGCAGCACTTCACAGGCACATCTCCGAATATTCCCGACTCCCTCGAACACAAACTACCCCTGCACCCTGCGTTAGGTTTCCTTTGATGAGGCGCGACCCATTGATTCTGCTTCTTACAGGTCTGAAGCCGGGCGACCCATTTGGATTCTCTTCTTTTGCTGTCGCTCTTCCTCTCCGGATGCGGTATCGTATCGCTGTCTCGATCTCTCCCCTGCGCCTCTCTCTCGGTCGCTCTCTCTCTCTCTCCCCCCTCCCCTCTCCCTCGCGCCCTAACACACGGTTGCACCGAACAGATGGTGTAAACTGTGGCATGTAATATTTGATGAGTTTTATAAGATCGGCATGTATTTACCCGGGCCGATTACACTGAAGATTTTGAACTAATGCTTCTAGGTGGTCAGCAGCTTAATGGGTCAGCGAAGGTTGATGCTCTCACTGAGCGAAGGCTTGCTTCAATGACTCCACGAGCGAACACCACCGAACAGCCATGATCAAGGAACGCATGCCATAAATGTGTCGACTGAGCTCTGACTCTAGATGAAAATAGAGACATTCGGCTACATACTGTGTGTGTGTGTGTGTTATGTTACCTTGATCATACTACAAAAATTATCGCGTTTCACGTAATATGGTCGCTATTTCGCCAAGGCGAGTCTGATAAGCTGATGAGCACGAAGCAACTGGCTGGATCAGCAATGAAATTTAAATTCTGAAGGAATCCCGGGATGATGGGCTGCGCACCATCATTGCCACGGTCCGGAAGAGGGCCTGCACCAACCCACAAGCCCAAAGTACAAGTCGCTTGCTTGGAAGCGCTGGAGCCGCTGCATTTCATAGGCCGTGGCACAGCCGTAGCTTGCTGCGCGCCGGCAGCATCGGGCAGACGAAGTGCCATAACATGCAGCAACCCCTCAACCTTTGGAGGTTCATGCATTGTCCCCTCGCTCTTCTGCAGCAAGTCGAAGCCTTCAGATTGTCAGGCAATTCGGCTCGACCGGCATAGCCAGGGTTCATGGTGATGAAGCCTTGGATTGGAGCTCAGAGTCAGAAGGTTGTGGATCGAGGGTTTGGCGCCCAAGCGCATGGTCTCTCTGTTTAGGCTGAATGCCTCGTCCGCAGACCAGGTCGGGGCTGAAGTGAGGCGACTGCAAAATCTAGGGTGCAACCAGCTACATGAACAAATCCTAGCAGAGCCTACGGGTAGCAGCCTAACATATCAGGCCGTTTGATCAGCAGCTTGATCTTGCGGAACTGCGCAACAATCCCTCGTGGTGGATAGAAGAAGTCTTAGGCTATTGACCGTCCGCCAATTGCCTTTTGCTCCCTGAACTCTTAACCCTGAACCCCTACTACGCCCAACCCAAATCTAAACCCTTGCAAGGACCGGAAGTGTGAGACTGTCACTCGGCCATACACATGCTCACAGCAACACCAACCGGCGAAGCGCAGTGAGACTGAGACTGCTCTGCGTTCGTTTACACGGCGTCCATCACGAGAGTGTGTGGGACTGCACATATCTAACGTGCAAGCGAAAATCCAAAGATGCAAAGCTCCAAACGTTAGCCCAACAGCTCGATTGGATCTCAACTCGTTGTCAAAGGCCCAGGCAGTTGCACGTCCAAATGATTGGCAGCTCTGTCCCCTCGAAAATGAACGTGGTCTTTTTCTCCTCCCACGTGGTGCTGTATCAGCACTTTAAGGCTCAGGCTGTGGGGATGTCAATTCTGGAGGATTTCTGGAGGTGTCAGTAGCCCGGCATCCGGGCCAATCGCATGACGCATCTCGCACACCACGGAAACAATTGTCATACAGCCACACCGCAAAATCCACCCAAGCTGCTGACAGGCTGACAGGACCAAGCTCAAGCTTCAGCAACTTCCGGCTTTACCTTAAACGCGGAGCTCCCGGATGGCATTCTGAATGCAAAGGATCTGCTGCGCGATGACGCTGAGCACCTTCCACGAAAAGACAGCACGGTCTGGAGTGCAGCAGGCAATTGTTGGGTGCTCGCTTGCAGAGCAGTATAAAGTCTTTTGTCAAGTCCATTCGAGGCCATGGAAAAGCTGCTGAGTTGGTGCTTGTGCAAAGTAGTATTGTCGTTGCTGTCTCTATCACCATTACGTAGCTATTGGTGCTATTTTGCGCTGCCATCAGCACTATCGTCGCAGAACCGTCTTCACAAGAAGCTTGCAGAGCAAGTGAAATGGAAGAAGCCCCTGGCCCTGATGCTCACCTACCCATTGATTTACGCCATGAAGCCGAATGAAGGAGACTCTGAGAGACTAGATTGCCATGGAAGTGTCGAACCGTCAACCTAAACCACTAAACCCAGACCGCCCCCCCCCCCCACCCCGGTCCCACCTCTGCATCGATGCGATTGAACTCGTCAAAGCATGCCCACCCGCCAGATGCCGCCAGGCCTCACCGAGTGCTAGCGCTGCACAATCTCAATTAGTCAATACAGCTCACGCAAGGGCCCTACGCACAAGGCAACGCCTGAATTCCTAGACATGTTGTGCCTTTGAAGAACTTTGCCATCGCGAGGTAGTCCAGCTCATCGGAGCAGTTGAACACGACGCAGAACCGCGCCAATGCCTGCGGGACTTGCGAAAGTCACTCAGGGCCGAAGAGCTAATGAGCCATTTAATAAGCCTCTACAGTATGAGCACTGCAGAAGTGTTTGGCACGAGTGATGAAACCTGAAACCCGAAGCCAGTCTCATGACGAAAAGCATGCCGGCGTCCTTCGCCAGGTCCTTGACTGTCTCGGTCTTTCCAGTGCCGGCAGGGCCCTGCCAAACGTTGAAACTGCTGTGACGGAAGAAGAAGCAGGGCTTCGGGGTTGTCGGAGCTTTGGATCGAAGAGACGTCTGCATGGCAGATCAATGCGCTATCTCTCCGCTGAACTTAACTTGTTCCTCTCTAACAGTGTGCCTTCCATATTATGCATTTGTACCAGAATCTCAACTCCACCTCTGACTGCAAGCCCAAAGCCCCTCTGCAACACATAGTTTGACACAGTTAGAGAACCGAGCGATTCGAGCCCCCAAACATCCCAAAGCACTCGAAACTCAATTGTCAAAGCTATCGGGACAACCAGCCAAAAAGCCTGAATCCGAAAACGCAAACCGCCCTCCTTCGAAACAACGACACACACACAGACAAAGATTGCACCATCCCGGGAAGTGAGACTCTCTGACGGAAAAGCTGCCTCAGGGGCTGCGCCGTAGAGCAGGTGAAGGGCGCCACAACCTTAAAGGGCGGGCAATGCCTGTCTCGTTCCCGGAGTGGCAAATGACGAATCCTCTACTTCTGCTACTGGATCTTGTTTACGTCCAAGCTGTTGTGCCTCGGCAAGTGCCTGCAGGTATACCTCATCACGATGTTCTGTTGCATGGTTTGGCTGGTGACGCCGGGCAGCTCTGCCTTTGCAGCTGGAGTGAGAATCTTCTAATTCCTGGCTGTGTCCTGATGAAACTAGAGCCTGTAGCGTAACATAATGGCACAGCATGCATTCACAACCCTGTCTGGCACCCAGAGAGACAGGCAACTCCGAACGGAGCTCCGCTGATCCTGATGGCCGGGTTCCCTCTTGGGCAAAGGGCCTCCTCCGTTTCCCCCAACGACGACGCGTTGCGACAGCTCCCACAAATTCGCCAGGACATTACTTTTCAGGCTGTGGTGTGACACCGTGGCCTGGATGAATGGGGCTCTCGTGGCCTGAGTAAGTAGGGCTTTCGACACAGAGGTCGCTACAAGCCGCTACAAGGCTTTACAGCCTGACAGCCTGAGTTCGGAACATGTTCGGTAGCATCTGTCCTGGCTTCGGAACTTGAAGCCCAAGGAAAGCATCAAGCCCCTAGGTTTCCAATTGAGCAATGCAGGCCACTGTGATACAAAAGGCTCAGCACTCTCGAAATAATGGATAGAATAGAAAATTCTGGAGCTCTATCGAAGGAAGTGACAGTTTGGGCAAGTCAGCCCTGCTTGTGGCAACGTTTCTCGGATCTGTATGCATGTCAGCATCTTCGGAAGGAAATTTAAATGAGCTAGGTGCTTCCCGTGCCCCCTCGGGTCCGTCAGCGGGGTCACAATGAGCCGAGACGAATTGCCCAAGTATTCGTAGGCGTAGCCGAGATGGCTGTTTGTGATCCGCACAAACCTGCGCATTGCATGATTGGCTGCGAGCAGAAGGGGATGCCTTACAATTGGGCAAAGCCGCGTGAGCCCCAGAATCGCTGAGCTTGCGGCAGGTCCAGTTGCTCGGGCTTCTCTGGATTCTCCTGGTTAGCGTAACTGGGCGCCTGGGACCTCCGGTCCTTTTCGGCTGGGCGTGTCGGTTGTTCAGCTCTTGTGACACAGACGCCAACACCACAAGTAGAAACAGAAGCCTCAAGTTTGCAAATGAACCCGATCCCTGGATCCGAAGAGTTTGCTAACGCGGCACCTGCAGCTGTTTGAGCTCCAAGTCCAAGTATGACCAACTTTTTACAAGCATTTGGACAAGCGTTGCCGCTCCTCGATGTAGTATCTCAGCTGGACCAGCCAGTCGAAGTCATCCACCTAGCAGCAGAGAACTGCAGGGTCGGGGCCGGGGGCTTGGGATTTCCCTGTGTTGGTCTTGTACAGTCCCTCCAGCTTATCTTCGCAAGCGCAATCAGCAATCGAATCTCGGTTCTGACGTGGGGCATGCTACCTTGCCGCTGCGTCGTTGCGGGATGTGACACCGGGTCGTGAAACGATCGCGTGCTCAGTCCAATTTAGCGGCTTCCAGTGTCATGGTTTCTCATGGGCGCCGGGAAGGAAATGGTGCCCCGAACAACTCGGGTTCTTGGTTACGGTTGCGGAACGTGGCAGGCCGTGAAATGCAGCCACGAGGGCACACCTGTCGTTCCTGCGTCCCTATCCAAGTCCAGACTCCAGACGTAGCTTGCCATCTCTTCGAACATGACATAATGCATAGTTAACAACGAACCTGAAAATGATCGAAAACCGAACTGTGCTTCTGATTCCGTGGCCGCCCCCCCAACGGAACCTCAGCCCCGCTTCTACCATCGGCACACATCGGCTCGAGAGCCCGGCAATCCGAACCGAAATGACATCAAAGCCTCTCGACTTTTCGCCCAAACTGCCTGGGAGACTGCACCCTTCTTTCCTTGGAAGCTTATCCTGTTCCGGATTCCTGCAAAAACCCTGCTGAGGCATGCAGGGAACCCAACACCTGTGAGAGCTCAACCTCCTGCGACCAAGGCACCATGCTGGTTCCCATCTTGCACAGCTCCTCAACGGTATCCTGGCGCCCAGACAACCCGGAAGCGACCCCAAAAACCTGGACATCGATACCTGCATGGTTGTGCCACTATGCGTGATTGTATCAATCTGTTGGGTGGGGCGCGCAAAGGAGGCATGGCCACAGAGTGCCACATGCTTCACAAACTCGCACACCATGCGAGGATGTCTGAATCACTGAAGCACCAAGGCTTTCCCAGCAGACGAAACAGCTCAGCACGCTCTCTCACTGCGTTGCACATTTGACTGCCGGGGGTGCAGGAAAGCGCCAAGACTTGCATCCCAAAGACAATTTCTGAACCTCTTGCCGGGTCCGCAAGCCTTACATTGCGTCACGTGGTTTGTGCCTTGTTGTGGACGAAAATCACAATCAGGGCTTCGAGTGTGCACCGCGTCAGCGCAGGAATGTCATTCCGTACCAAGTCCTTGGGATTTACCAGGGCATTGGTGCGACACCTCAATTTCTAGCTTTCGCATGAAGGCCCCTGGCCTGGAAGATACCCCCGAACACTGAGCCCTCAGCTGAATGCCGACCTTCGCAATTTCATACTTGAGTCCAAGGCTTACCCCTCTACAGTAGCAGTCCCTCTAGCTTCAGACCCGTCCTTATCAACTTGGCCGCGTTCCTCTGGGCTCCCGGCAATGATGTCGCCCAACGTTCCCTTCAGCTTCTCTGCCACTTGAAGTATCTTGGCAACATGCGTGGTCCACGACTCACGTCGGACGCTGAAGCTGAACCGAACTACGAGTACCTAGAAGCATAGAGCCCTATATAGAACCTCTGTAATCGTGACAGCATGAGCAGCAAAAAGAGCAGCTACGGAGTCCCTTCTCAGCGAACTGCTCCATCGTTGCCGTGCTCGCGCAGTCCTTCTTCCACCTTCCACGAAAGCACTCTGCCCCGCCAGCCACAAAACCCGAACGCTGCAGATACTTCCCCTCACCTGCACCCTCACCGTCAGAGTCACCCCTGTTCCAGCCCACCTCACGGGTCCAAAAGAGGGAAAAGATGGCGATGACGGCCTGTTGCGACTGGAAGGCTGGAAGAATCGCAAAAGCTGCCGGCTCAAGCAAAGGCTCGTAAGGGGTGAGGTTTGGGATCTCAGCGTTCGGAGGCTGAGGGTTTTTGGAGCTTTAGATGTGGAGTTCATAGCCTGTCTGACACTGCTCGACTATATGTGGTCTCTGAAGAAGTTTAAGGCTGGATCTAAGCCTAAGCGTGCGGGTAAATGTCAATTCATCGGAGATCAGGATTGCATCTAGTAGCCCTGCCAGTCGTCCTATACACTCCACTTTGGGCCTGTCCAGGCCACTGCCGAAGCCAGTCGGTGAACTTCCGTTCCATGTAGTCCTTGTGCGGGACAAACCAGAATTCAGGGCAGGCCGGAATTGGTGGTGGATATGTTTGGTACTTTTTTGAGGCTTGGTTTCCTATACCATGGCCTCCTTGCTCCATGTGAGCACGATGCATGTCGTTGATGAACCCATACCACTCCACCGTGCAGATTTACCATCCACGCATCCTACCGCACTGACGGCATGTACGGTTCCGGCTCGACCTTGGGGGTTGTTTTGAATCATGTCCTTCAGATACCGGCTTCCTTACACAAGAACCGCGCACCGTGCTTCAGAAGATCCAGCGGCCTTCTCCGACGAAAGGCAAACGTGACGAATGGTCTGGATCATCGCCGCCTGAAGAGGTCGAATCCTTCCCGCCCTTAAGAGCCTGCGCTCCCCCTGACCCTAGAACATAAGAACCTAAATCCTTTCTTCTAAGCCCGACAACCATAGACACAAGCCAACAAAAACACCCACTTAGGAGGTTCAAGGACTTCACTTGCGCTTGGAGTTGTAAGTGCTCTTGTACCCTGATCACTCCCCAGTGAGCTTCGGTTCTCGACCCTAACCCTGGCCTAGCGGAACTCGAAGCAATGACCCAAATCACTTTCCAAGAACAGGTCAGGACCTGCCTCGACCTGGACGAGCCACTTCTCCACGTTACCGCTTGCTGCGTGCGGATCCACCGCATCCACCAACTGCGATGTCGCATTTGATGTGTTTGCAAAACTTCATGACCACGAAAGCCAAAGGAACATAAGAGAAGGTACCAGTACCCCGGCATCCAGCAAGAAACCTCAAACAGGACGGGTACAGCTACAGGTTTGACGCTGCAGGGATGCCAGAACAAGACTGCTTCAGCAATCCGTCATGTATGAAACAATCACTACAGTGTACTGGCTCAGTGGCTTTCGGATGAAACGGCACCGGGATTCTCTCCCTGTGCACATGATCTCTCCTTTGCACCCGCCAGGGATAAAGGGTGATTCCCAGTGAACTACAAAAATGCTCGGCGTCCGAGGACGCGACTGGCACCGACTCCTTCTCCGAGGACATCATGGCGGTGATTCGCTGATCTGCCTTGAGCAGCGCACGTGGCAGTCTCTTCAGCGGCTTCGTCCGTGGCTCTAAGAGTTGCCACGCCAGGATTTACCGAGCTTTGGGGCCTGTCGTATTATGGTGGTCGGGAGGTTGAGCAAAACAGTCTGTAGTGCAGAAGCTTGGCTGCATTGGGCTCAGGCACTTGGAAAGCGGGGTGAACTGGCCAGGAGCTTTCGACACACACGAGAAACGATGCAAGGCATGCGGTGCTGGCAAGCTCATGCATGTCCACAGTTTTGCTGCCGCGGCCGGCACTGTCCTCGGACACTTTCTGGCCCGGCTGTGTCCCGTGCTGAAGTTCGTGGTGCAGCAACGACAAAAGTATGTCTGAATGTCTAAGTTCGTGCTGTTCACTGAAGGCACAGCTCCTGCATGTCACCTGTCCGACAGTGACACTGCGGAGCTAAGTAGGTAAAACGAGACGCAAATGCTGCGCACTGCAAAGATCAGCAACTGCGCGCAAAGAGCTGAGACATGATCAAAGCAGCGACCGCGGCAACAGACCGACCGGCATTGCTGGTGGGAACTGTGCCATTGGCATCCGGGTCGAGACAGCCGATGAGGGTGCATGCTAGCATCCCCTGTCCACAGTTGCAGCTGTTGCACCAGTTGGTGCCGGTATCCTTGCCACTCCAGCCATCAGTCACTACTTCACCGCCTGTAAGCGTGCAATTGTCACCCACGGATGTAATGCCAACGCCACTGCAGTCCGAGTTATTCTTTGCACAAGCTGTGGAGTTCCAGTAGCAGCTGCAACCGCCGTCATTCATGGAGGGACACTGCGTTTCATTCCAGTTGCCGCAGATGGCCGCCTCTGTGCTTAGCATCTGTACAGCTATCGCGACTAAGGCGCTGCATCGAAGCTCCATCTTTGTCGGATGGGGATCAAACCCGATCTTTTTACTACATGTGCCTCTGTAAAACTCTATAGAGCCAGAATGAGAACGGCGGGTCCGCACGGTTCAGAACAGGTGAACTGGTATGTTCCGTCGTTCAGAGTGAAGAGATTTGGTTAGTGTATCCGCGAAGCACTCGCGGCAGGCACGCCTTCCGGGACGCAGCTCCCACTGCGATACATGCATATATCGTGCACCCATGTCACATTATCTATGCACTCCTGCTTAGGAATCCTTCGCCGGCGACCGCCAAGTCATGGCAAATTTCAATACATGGCAGCATAATTCTGGGCTTCAAAACGATTGACTCCCGTGCATGGGTCGAAGCATGGGCCTTTCTTTGGACGTGGTCCTGGATCCCGCCACTACATCAAGGGGAACAGGTTGCCACTACATGGGGGTGGTGTTGGTGGTCTCTTGGTGGTCCGCAGTCAGCCTTCGGTGATCGATGCAGGGTTCTTGCGGTCTGCACGCGAAATGTCAAGTTCTTTCCATGCTTGCTTGCAAATGTTCCGTGGAGCAGTCCAACTTTCACGGCAATGGACATAGGCAGCGTGATAGTCATTGAATCGCACAACCCTAAGCCCTGTACACTTAAGATTCTCGGTACAAGCTGTGTAAGTTTCCAGCATCGGGTGCTTAATGTCGTCGAAGCTTATGACTGCCAACTGATCAGCCATAATAACTCTACACACGCTTCGACGAGTCAAGAGACAAGCTCTCCCGGGAAGCACGAGTGTCAGGGCTGTTGGACGTCTGTTTCGAGTCGCGTGCGGAAGCTATGCCAAACATGGCAAACTAGTCTACCAGAGATTATGTAGGGTTGTGTTCTAGGCAGCCTTCGCGAATCCTCCAAAGAGGACGAGGGCAGTATGGCAATGAACTGAATTGAAGCCGAGCCAAATACGCCATAGCTCGCCCTGATACGCCCTAATGGCCCCAAGCTCCAGGCAGACTGAAACTCGAGGCTTTGGATGCCCTCGAAAGCCTGAAGAGGGAAGTGGGTTTGGTGGGCTTGGCCTTCGTTCGGTGATCACTTGCACATTCTCGTATCTGGCAACGTGACTGTGGCTATCATCGGCAGGACATTACTGTTCAGTACCGAAGACTTCTGCGAAAGCATTGTGAAAGGCTTGGATCTACCACTGCCACCGCTACGGATACTTCCGTTCCGCCTGATGCTGTTGCTCCTGCTGCTGCTGCCTCTCCTGCTGCTGCTGCTGCTGCTGCTGTCACAACTACTCAGCTAGTACTACGACGACGACCACCACCACAACGACGATGACCTGCTGCTGCTCGCACTGCTGCTGCTAGGAACTACGAAGTACGAATTTCGAACTTCGAAGTGCTAACTGCTAACTGCTGACTACGAACTACTAACTACTAACTACGATCTACTAACTACTAGCTACCAACTACTATACTTACTAACTGCTAACTACTACGTACTGCGTACTACCTACTACTACTACTACTACTACTACTACTACTACTACCACTACTACTACTACTCCTACTCTACTGCTGGCACCACCACCATCACCACTGCCGCTGAAGCCACTAGCCGCACCGCCACCACCACCACCACCTCCACCACCAACAACAACAACAACAACAACAATAACAACAACAACACCACGGGCACCGGCACCAGCACCAGCACGACTACAACTGCTAGACAAACCAAATGAACGATACTCATCCTTATGATTATCACAGTTGCATCATCCAAGTGCGCACGCTGATGATTCTGACAAAACGAGGCATACCCTTCGTTGTGGTCCTAGCGACTTCAAATCTTCCAGCACATAACTGACAATGTTCATACAATCATGCTACAACTCGGCACCACCGACAGATTTGCTGTAACATGCTTGCAGTAGCAGTAGAACTACATAATAGGCTTGGGTTGCCCAGCTGTGCCTTCTTCATGTGCGGATTCACGCGCGTGGGGTCCTTCGTCTCCTGAGTGCAACTAAATGTGGTACGATCGGAACGCCGCTGATTTGTAGCATTCGTTGCGACAACTGAAAGCAGAGAGGAACTCGTCATCAACAGTGGCCTATCTGGTTATCTGGTTGCCTTTAGGCACACACACACACCATTTCTGGTGAAGAGCTGCGATCAATCTGCATACAGGGTCGAAGGTCGAGGTTTCTCTCAGGGGAATCCACTGCTGCCCAAAGGTAGACCATGAAGGGTAGCAGCTGCCAGTCTCTTCGAATCGTGCTAGCCGAGAACGACACCGACAAGATCTCCAGCAGGTTGTCATTCGACCTCAAGACTTCTGCGAGGTCATCGGGTGTTTCCGAACTACGAGTTAGGGGTTGCTCCGGACCCAAGGTCTCTGAAGGGCTGCAGGCTCGCAGGCACAAAATTCGAACATTTGCGAGACTCGTGCACTGGGTAGAGAAGCTGGATAGGAAGGTGCATCTTTGACTTGCCATGAAGCTGGGGCGCCAACAGGAAGAAGAAGCGAGGGAAGGCTTTTCGCTTCGTTTCCAGATAGTCGTTCAAGCCCTAGCCGAAATCTTTTGCAGAGCCATCTCTACATCGAAAATGACAAGCAAAAGGAGGTTTGCGTTCGGCACGCCGTCATCCTACCTAAGGGTTGCCTTCAGCAACCTTGCCTAGGTCGAACGATAAGCCGCCTGGTTTTATGGGGCTACCTGAGCCTCAATCGTCACACGGCTTCGGGCTGCAAGACTGGAGTCTCCCTGAGTGTTCTCCGTGGTGATTCCGAACGATACTTATGCATTACTGCTGTAAGCACAGCGGACAACCATCGATCCTAAGCATCCATTCCACTTGTGTTGAATGGAAGCCCATGCTGAGAGAATCTTGACTAGCAGAACCTGGCGGTTGAGAGCGAAGCCTATCTCTGAAGTTCAGCTTACTGCAAAGGCCGAAGTGTATCCTAAATTGCACCGGGTCGCAGAGGGGCAGAAATTTAATCCGATGGTGCTAGCGATGCATGGCATGTCGATTAAAAGCGCACACATATGCACACACACATATCACATACACCTTCTGCACGGTGTCCAAGTTCGCATTGCACCTGCGCTGGAGAAACCGATTGCAGGAGTGCTCGGAAGCTGCACACGCGCGTGGGACACGATAAAAAGGGCAGCGAACAACTTCTCAGTCCGGCCTCTGCAACAACTCCAGGAGCCCAGGTGCCTTTGTCGCCTCCATCGCCTTGCCGGCCCTGCCAAGGAGTCGCACTTCACTCATTATATCTACGACCCGGCTATACTTACAAACATGAGCAACACCGCAGCAAAACCGGGTGTCAAAGATTGGGGCTTCTCAGTTGGATTGTCGAACAGTACTTGGAGTAGCAAGTCTCGTTAAACAAAAAACTTTTTTGAGTTTTACAGAACGCATGGTGGGCTGCCGTGGCATCTCAAGAATGAGCACGAAAGCTCATATAGAAGCTTGCACTCACCGCTTCCCTGCCCCGACGCATTATTCCCGGCACGTGAACGTCCGCCTTCCGAAGCTCCCCTTCTAACAAGGTCAGGTCACTCCAAAGCTGCCGCCATGGTAGTGCGCCAATCCATGTCCACCTGCTTGAAAATCCCGGCCTGCGCAGGAGAGAAACAGCTACGTTCCTTATGCGTACTGAGCCTAGCACGAAAGCCAATGTAGCACACTTTGAACTGAAGCTGCGGTGCTGCACCCCACAATAAGGTGTCAATGCCAGTTTCAGTAGGTGTCAAAGCTACGGACAGGGCATGGCTCGTAAACCTCGTCAAATCCTTTCTTGAGCTGCACGGCGTTGTAGGTTGAAGAGGTTTCTGATAGCCCTTGGTTAAACCCTGTAATCCACTTCACCAGACGAAGTGGGCCTCTGTCGGCATCTGCTTGACAATATCCCCAGAAGAGAAAATGGGTTCGAGGTAGAGCCAGACGCCTTGCACCTCGCAAGATCCGGGCAAGGCTAACCTCCCGCGGCCATCATCCAAGGATAACACGAAGAGGCCCACACGTACAGAATCCTTCGTGTCCTACGTATGGCAAAATCTCTTCCTAACAGCCGCTGGCCCCTTTGCCGACACAAGCACTTGAAGGTCGGTGTGTGAAACAAGGCTAATGCGTGTGCACCGGCAGCCCTGCCTTCTGCCAAATGTCCATGATCTCCTGGTATGTTCAACACCAGGCCCATTATACCCGGAAATAGCAAATAGCAGTTCATCTCGCCGATGCCACGACGTTGCCGGACGGCAAAACCATCCCCTCTCCTGCGTCTGGAGGAGCCAGGATTCCAACCTCGCCAAGGACGAACAGTCGAGGGCTTTGAGAGGTCCACGGGTTTTACAAGAGCGACGCAAGGTCGTTCGGCCAAGACAACAGTCTGAACCATGGATGATTCTGGCTCCTTGCGCATGTGAAACGAGCCCGGCATGTGTGAAGCAACACCAAGTTCGAATCTCGCGAGCCATCCGCAAAACAGACGACAGCCGAAGCAGGCTCAAACTCTGTCTTTGGCATGGGTTACATCTCAGTTCCGGACGAAGTGATCTTGTCCATGAAGGCTTTGGCGTAGGGCGAGCCTGGCAGCTTTGTGCGGATAGGCCGAGGCCTGGCCTTCGGCCTCTCTCCTCACCTTCAGAAAGGACTGTCTGTTTTACTTGAACCGCAAATCAGACATACCAGCCGAACGCACCAGCCGGGTGGCCTTTCATGGTCTGGACCTTTATGATGTGATCATCCATGAGACTCTGCCTGCTGGAACCAGGGAGTATGTCAGTTTCGTGGCTCGATGCTTTCATCTTAGGAGTCTGGATTCAGCGACGATCGATCAGGGTATCCAAGAACCTATGCAACCTAGGCTCATACGCAGGGCCTGTAGTGCCTAAAAGGAAAGAGTCCGAATCCGCCCAGCGGCATTTCGTCGACAGTCGTCGCAGCAACGATGTACGTCTCCGTGTCCTGCACAGGGTGATCCACAGGAAGAGACGACGGAAGCAGCTACGGAGGCCACAAGCTTTCAGGTGCGCAGCAGGGCAGAAAAACATGCCGACCGGGTCAAGTGTGACGAACAGGATTCAGTTCAGGCCAATTCCAGACTCGTGAAAGAGCGATGATAACAGAGGTTCGCTCCAGATCATATTCCCGACTCCCGACGAGCGATAAATGGCCAAATAACGCTGGAACGACCAACTCCCCAAACCCCCGGATGTACATGCGTGAGTTGACTGATGGCAGATTAGCCTCAAAGCCCTGAGAAGCCAGACCCAACACATCAGGGGTCCCAGTCGTAAACTCGATCACCCGCCAGAAGCTTCTCGGGTCCTTCCACGGCTTGAGCTCGAAGTTCACGGGCTGCCACTGCTCGTAGATGGACTCCAGGGTCTTCTCCTAAGGGCTGGCTGCTGCCTGGCCCCAATGCCACGAACCCCTCCTGTGATCTAGACTAGACCACCAAAGCACACAGAGAGGAACAACTCCTGAAATTGCTGGATTTCTCCGACCGCGCTGGATGACCACTGAAGGTGCATGCTATTGCTTCGTGTCGTGGATCTTCTGCTGCTGCTGTTCGGAATAGGCGAGTTTGGGGTGTCCCAGGTGTCTCGGGATGCTGCTTCCCCACGGAAAGCTTGTAGACAAAAACGAATGGTGCTGAGGTAAAAGCCAGTCCGTACTCTCTGGATGCAGAGTCGGAGATCTCCTGCAGTGCATTCCTCGGTGCCGATATCTGAGGTACACACTACAGACTGTTGGACCACTTTGACAAGTCTTCGACTCCAACATGTATTTCGGATCGACTGCTAGAGGAGTTGGCATGATGCACCCCCAAGTGTGACCAAGTGGGAAGCCGCGCTCCGAAGCCTTGTGACCTCACCTCACCGAACCGAACTAGAGGTTCTCTTTCACTTTGGGGCAGAAGTTATTAAGATCAAGGCACAGGCTTGAAGAGGAAAAGACAGTAAGCACCCAGCATGTGCGTACCCACGTCCATGTCCACCACTCTGCTGAGGGTGAAAGCGGCATCCCGCTCCATGGTGAAGCCAACGACCTCTCGCAGTGAACCAATTTACCAAAGGGTCCTCAATGGATACCAAAATCATCTCCTTCCAAACGCTTTCGGCCACCGTTGTTGACGGCAATTGGACGTGAGACTCATACAGTAAGACTTTGAGCGAGGATCGGAGGCTTGGAGGGGCTTTGGTCGGCATGGACTGGAGCGCTTTTCACCTAGACCTAAACGCTGCTAGTTGATAGTTGCCTTGGGCTTGAGTTCTGGCTTACAGCAAGATGCATCTAAACGTGCCTCCGAAATCTCGTCCCAGTGCCGCTGGCGGAGACCTGGATTGCCTGCAATGAGAGTTGAGAAGAACAGTGGGCTGCCCGCAATGCTGCAAGCTTCGTCAACTCACAAATGTGTGAAAGATCAAGTTCGGTTTGCTTTGTGCGGCCATCTTTGGTCAGAATGCCATGGCGAGCCCAGGATCACGTGGCTTATCTCTCGTCTGGTATCTGACAGCTACGAAGCCAAGCGAGCTCAGGCACAAAGGGCGTGGATGAGCGGCAGATGCTGCTTGAAGGCATCCAGGTCCTGTGCAGTCGAGGAAGGCAGAGTTTCATCGAGGCCCATCCCTTTAGAAGCCTCGTACCCAGGCCCAAGAAACCCTGAAAGACTCGAAGAAGCTCAAGAAGGCCTTCTTGAGCTTTTTCGCCACGCCCGCAGGGATCGGCAGGCTGTTCGTCTCGAAGAAGCCCTGTTAAAAACACTTGGGGTTTAGCGAGTCATGGTTGTGCATGCTCTTTACACGTTTCTGCCAGGTGGTGCTACGCAACGTCATGCTCCAGTCACATACAGTACCTCAAGTGGTCTCTTTGTGCACATTTGTGTCATGTAGCATCATATATTGTCTAAAACTCTTAGCACCAGCCGATGGCTGTATTTTCGAAAACGCGGTGCATCTAACGTTTGCACTGCCCAAGCAACTAACCTAACACGATGCAACGCAGTGTTGAAGGAGTCCAGGCACAAGGCTGCCAAGCTGACCATAACGCTCTGCAACAGCATACTTATGGGTTTTTTAAGTGATGCGCACATGCAATTATTCAATGCTCATTGCCGTTCCACTCCATGGAGACCTTCCGAGAACACTCAACCGTTTGAGTCCAGGCCCCCGGCTTGAATACGCACGTGTTTTGAAAGCGTTTGTGCAAAAACCATCTGCACAGGCCTCTTCCCAACAGTACAGCACTACCACATACACAGGTCGTGAAACAGGCTTTCAAGACACGCTTAGTTCATGTCAGGTCTGCTTTCGCTCGATGGTGTTCCTTGGCCCGGCCCGCAATTGAATCTAAGTCCATGTCCAACTCTCAGTCGTGAGCCTCCAAACCGCAAGCTTACAAGCTCGACCTGGAAGAAGCCGGTCCCGCCTGCAGCTTCATGGCCCTCTTTGCCAAGCTGCCGGCCAGAGAATCAACTGCCTGAAGAAATCATCGAATTGATGCTCTGGCATGGACTTGCGATGCTAGACTGTCCGCGGGCTTCCCAAACTCAATGGCTCCGAGTCGGCCTCCGGTTCAAGCTGGAAGAGAGGTCCTCTCATCCACTTCTTCTCCTGAGCGGACTTCGTTGTGCCATCTGGACCCCATCCGAACAACGAATCGTGCTGCCGGCTGCAGGTTACCCTGGTCCGCTGCACTGTTGCTGCAAGACTCAACTACTCACGTACCATATGTACAACTGCGACAAGTCGGAGGATGCACGATCTGAGAGCAGGTGCTGTGGTTCTCGAGTCCGATTTACATCCCAACATGCCTGCAACCCTGGCCTTCCAAAAGCTTCAGCCAGTTCAAGACACCCAAATACAAGGGCCCCCCCAGAGGCGGACAAAGCCTGCCTCGTTGGTGAAGCGTTTAGCCAGCTCCCAGAGGTCGTCGTAGGGGTGCAGCTTCTCAATGGCCTTGCGCTGGTCTTCGAGGGTTAGGGCTTGGGGGCAGCAGAACGGCTTATCACCTACTTAATGGTTCCTGGAAGACTGTCAACGGGCACATGGAAGAACGATTCTTTTGTCACAAGATTGACTCAAGATGCAACTTGTCAGTCCCAGGATCGTGGCACCAAAAATCATCTGTCTAGAACTCGAAACCCATGGCTCTGTGTGAACGTTCCGGGTGGGATCGAAACACCTCCCTGGCGGTGAACACGGGAACTTGAGAGATGCTGATGGCTGGTGCGTTTGGCGTTTGCTGGACTGCCTCGGTGAGCTTCTCGAACTCGCTCGGATCCCACCCCAGCATAACCTGCAGGGTCAACATGGGTGCGCATGGCGGGTCACCCGGGACCGGGCTCTTCGGATCCTTTGAGGAAAAGATGTGCTTCTTATGGATGCAAGGACTCCTGCAGATCTGGACTCTGCTGATTCTGCCTGCGCAGCTACATCGCGACTTCCTTTTTGCAAGTGGGAGCTCTCGTCGGATGTCTCACGAATCCATGCGGCACGCTTCAATCTAGCCCACAGCTGTGTCTTGAGTCTGTGAGACTGCTCTAGCTCTGCACTTGACTAAACAACAACATTTGAATCGGAAATGCTTCTCTCTGATGTGCCCCAGCCCCCAAGCTCGATTCCTCCCACTCTACATCCTCCCCGATCATCCTTCCTCGTGACCTTACTCCGAAAAACCGCGGCAAACCTGCAGCCTCTAAGCTCTCTCGTGTAAAAAACAACAGTCGTAGTTAAACAGTATGACAGCAAATGTGGACCTCCTTCGCACGGTACTGCTCTGCAGTGTTCTGACACTTCTGCAGCTCTTCCTCAGGGCCACTTAGACTTTGCATCTTATCATCCGACGACTCTGCAACAACCATGGTGCTTGGTAATTCAACACAGACAACAAGCACAGTGCTACTAGCGGTATTTTGCCAGTGGGCCAACCACGCCCCATGCATTGCTCCGCACTGAATCGCTCGTCTGGCTGGCCAGATGCTGCATAGCGTAATTTCGTAGAGCTGTCGGTGACGTGCGCTACAAGCCATTTTGTTGGGAGGCCTCTCACCTCTCACATGGCAGCCACAGCAGGCTCGAAATTTGCACGAACACAACGCCGAAGAGATGCCTGCGATCCGAAATCCGCACCACAACAAGCCCAAGCTCCAACCCGAAATGTTGCGCAACTGAACGCAAAGCTCCAAAACCCGACAGGTCCCGCGTCCTTCAGCCAGTCTATCTTTATTGCGTAGTTGTCCACTTCCTTCAGATTTCCGTTGTCCTTGAACCTGGGCTGTGGAAATTTGAGTAAATGTTTTCCAGGCGGTGTTGAGTTGCGAAAAGTTCTCAGTCAGATGCATGAAAACGTTGCAGTGTATCGCACTCGCACTACGAAGACTCCTGCTACCAAGAAGAACAGACTTACAAGATCCTACAACTCCCGCTTGTACCGGTATGAACAAGTCAAAGCCGATCACCAGTGCCATCATCATCTCCCTCTTCAGTAGATGCAAGGTCATGAGCTTCCTCTCAGATCCCGGCTTGTTCACCGCGCTCATGTGGCCCAGCAAGTCATTCTCAAAATCCTGCCGCTCCTGTTGCAAGGCCCCATTTGACAAGAATTGATCTAATACAGAAGCAGCGGAAGAACAAAACGAAACAACCAAGGAATGAAACCACGTCACGAAAACACTGGCTCACTGGTGCATTCGTTAGCAGCACTGTCCTGGGGACCAAGGATGCTGTGAGTCAGCTATTGTTTCTAGAAGCACGCATGATGCAGAGATGCATGTGTCCGGAACAATGTGGGCCCGTGTGCACGATACTCTATAAGATGTGGAGCGGTACGAGTGCAACCTTCTGCTTGGAACGAATGGAAGACCTGCAGCGACAGCTGTTTTCACACGGCAACTATCGGTACACGGCGTGCGTCTAATTGCGCACGAACAAAGCTCTCGCTACACAGCGAGCTTGCGCGCCCACCGTCGAACCCCATCGACA